TCCCCAGGCTCCCGCGGGCGCTGCCCTGGGGCCGCCGCCGCCCGAGCCCACGGTGCCGAGCGCGGCTGTGACCGCGGCCGAGGGGACGCGGTGAGGGCCCGGCCTGGAGGGTGTCCTGGGCAGCCACCCCCGGCACACGCAGCCTGCTGCCGCTTCGCCCTGTCACGGGCAGCCCGGCCCCGTTACTGCCCGCGTTGTCTGGCGCGGCCTCCCGAACCGGCCTGGGACAGGGTGGGAGCCGGGGGGGGCTTTCTGGGCCAGGGAACCAGCCTCGGGACCCAGCAGCAGTCAGCCCCTACGAGGGCATCACAAGCCGTAGCGCGCAGATGAGTTTGTCGGGTCTCAGCGTGAGGGCTGGGCATGCTCTGGGGCATTTTGGGGTGGGGGGCGAAAGGGTGCCGTGTGGTCGCTGGAGCTGGTGTGGAAGGGGCCCTTCTCACTGACGCCTGGCTCTCCCTCTCCTCTCTTCTCCATTGCCTGCCCTGGGCTGGTGGTGGTGGCCGGAGGAGGCTGCTCTGACCGTGTCCCGTCCCCCCGCAGTACATGGGCTGCATCGAGGTTCTGCGCTCCATGAGGTCCCTTGACTTCAACACCCGGACACAGGTCACCAGGTACGTCCCTGCGATCCCGCTCTCCCGCACCCCAGTGCCATCCGGAGCCCCCATCGGCCCTGGGTGCACCCCCTCCCCAGGGCCATGTGGGGGGGAGGGGGGCACACGGGGCCAGGGTCTGGGGGGGCTCTGCCCCACGGGATCCACCCTGCACGCAGGGATGTGGATGAAGGGTACTGCCACGGATCAATGGGTGGAAAGAGGAGAAGGGAGGTGGCCCTGGCTGGGATTACATACGTGGGGCAGCGCTGCGGGGAGGCTGCAGTGCCCCGGGCTGCAGGGGCTGATGCCCCCAGACCCTGCAGAGCCGTGGGCAGGGGAGGCAGCTGGGAAGGGGCTGCGGGTCTGCAGCAGTAACCTGGCTGGGGGCCGTGGCTTGCAGGGAAGCCATCAACAGACTGTATGAGGCAGTGCCAGGTGTCAAGGGCATCTGGAAGAAGAAGGTGAGTTTCCACCCAGCCTGTCCCTCCCTGGGCTCCTTCCTGGGGTGAGCTGGGGCTGCAGGACAGGGTGCTGGCGGTGCCTGCCTGGTTTGCAGAGCAGAGTCTGGGGTCTCTTGGGGCACCCCTCTTTGCCTTCTTCACCCCAGGAAACCTGGTCCTGGTGGGCTGCATCGCCCCCACAGTCCTCTCCCCCCGTCAGGCTCCCAACAAAGCCCTCTTCTCCATCCTGGGCAAGAGCAACCTCCGCTTCGCTGGCATGAGCATTGCTGTCAACATCTCCGTTGACGGGTTGAACCTCATGATCCCCACCACGCGCCAGGTGAGGACTGTCCCCAGGGACACAGCCCTGCCACCTCCCAGACCTCTGCCTCCTGCTGTGAACCGGGGGGGGCTGGTGGCCCCCACGCTAAACCTCCCCGTGGGCCATGTCCCCCCCGCCACAGATCATCGCCAACCACCACATGCAATCCATCTCCTTCGCCTCTGGTGGGGACACGGTGAGGCACAAACGTCTCAGCCCTCCCCTGGCTGCGGTCCCTCAGGGGCAGCGGGGATGGGGGCTGCCTGTCCTACGGCTGAGCTGAACTGCGGGGCAGCCTGGTCCCAGGGCAGGATGCGGGGCCGAGGCCGAGCCGGTCCTCTCGTCCCGGCCCCCCAGCCCTGCTCCCCGCACGGCAGCGGGATGCAGGTCCTGAGCTCCCCCTTTGCCCCCAGGACACCACGGACTATGTTGCCTACGTCGCCAAGGACCCCATCAACCAGAGAGGTGACGCTGGCCCCCATGCCCGGGAGCTCTATGGAAAAGGCGGGATGCATGGGGGGGATGAAGGCTGGAGTAGGGGATCCCTCATGGGGAGCACGAGGGGTGGCTCAGGGTGGTCCCGGAGGGTTGGTGGGAGTGCAGGGGAAACACTCGAGCCGTCCATCTGTCTGTTTGCAGCCTGCCACATCCTGGAGTGCTGCGAGGGGCTGGCGCAGAGCGTCATCAGCACGGTGGGACAAGCCTTCGAGCTGCGCTTCAAGCAGTACCTGCACAGCCCCCCCAAAGTGGTGGTACCCCCAGACAGGTAGGGGAGCGGGGGCCCCGCTGCAGCCCCACAGCCCCTGTCCTGGGCATGTCCCCTGGCTGGGGGTTGCTCTGGCAGCCTCCATCCCTGCCGGGCGTGGGGAGGGCTCTGAGCCTGGCAGGGCGTCCCCAGCTCGCCCGTCCCTGCTGCAGGGCACTGGGTGCAGAGGAATCAGCCTGGGGAGAGGACGAAGAGGTGGCCGAGCACGATTACTACAACAGCATCCCGGGGAAGGAGCCACCCCCGGGGGGGCTGATCGACTCCCGGCTCCGGCATGGCACAATCCTGGGCCACATCCGCACTCAGCCCTCCGGCTCCGGCCCCCCCAGCCAGGTGAGCACCTGGGGCTGCTGCCAGTCCTGCTGTGGGGGTCCCAGGCAGACCCCCACCTGACACCCTCACTGTCTCCTCTCCCCAGGGCAGCTTTGCAGCCAGGCGAGACCAGAGCAGCCAGCCAGGGCCACCCTGGGACCTGGAGAGCCAGGGTGGGTACCACCGCGGGGGAGCCCCGGGAACCATGAGCGAGGGTCCCCACGGCTCTGCGCTGCCTGGGCTGGCAGTGATGCCTGGTCCTCGCAGGCCAGCCCTGCGACGGGTACCTGGAGGCGGACGGCCACCCCCTGGGCCCACGGGACTACGAGGAGCACATGTATGTGAACACGCAGAGCCTGGACACCTGGGAGCCAGAGGCAGCAGCTCACGGGGCGCTGGAGGAGAGCCCCAAAAAGGACCTCTTTGATATGAGTAAGCTGCCACACTGGGGGGTGTCTGGCACAGAACCTGCTGCAGAGGGTCCAAGCCATGCCGGCGGGCTTCCCAGCCACATGCGACAGCTCCGACGGTGCCCGCGCTGGCTGAGCCCAGAGCAGCGACGTGCTGAGCGCTGGGGGCCGTGAGCCGGGGGCCATCCTTGCCCGCCCTTGCCGGGGCAGCAGGGCCATGCTCGCAGCAGGGCTGCAGGTGGGCACCCCATCTTCCTGCCCTGCCTGGCCTCGTGGAGGGCGCAGGCGAGCCACGGAAGGGGGGCACCATCCCCTCCATGCCTGGGCACAGCATCATGCCCAGGACGGCTGTGGTGCAGCGGCATCCAGCCCAGAAGTGGGTCTGGCTGTAACCTGGGGTCCTGCTGCCACTGCTTGGACTGGCCCCTGCCGCACCCCAGCCCTGCTTTGTGCCTGGCGGACGGGGGTGTGTGTGACGCCCTGCACCCCCTGGCTCCTGCAGGACCGTTCGAGGATGCCCTGAAGCTCCATGAATGCATTGCCGGAGGTGGCACCAGCCCCCCCATAGAGGACCAGTGGCCGAGCCCCCCCACGCGGAAGGCCCCCATCGCCCCCACGGAGGAGCAGCTGAGGCGGGAGCCATGGTACCACGGGAAGATGAGCCGGCGGGATGCTGAGAGGCTCCTGCAGATGGACGGGGACTTCCTGGTGCGGGACAGCCTCACCAACCCGGGGCAGTACGTGCTGACCGGCATGCACAGCGGGCAGCCCAAGCACCTGCTGCTGGTGGATCCCGAGGGAGTGGTAAGGGCAGGGCGCGGGATGGGCGATGGGGGACAGGGGGTAAGGGCAGGGTGGAGAGGGATGCTGGAGGACACGAGCTGCAGGGGTGGGCAGGCGTCAGGGGTTGCATGGGGAACCTGTGCAGGAGGCAGCTCTCCTGGGTTCAGGACTGCTATGCCCCCCCCCCCGGCCCCCAGGTGAGGACCAAAGATGTGCTGTTTGAGAGCATCAGCCACCTCATCAGCCACCACCGGCAGAACGAGCAGCCCATCGTGGCCGCGGAGAGCGAGCTGCACCTCCGCCAGGTTGTCCGGAGGAAGCAGTGATGCCGGAGGGTATGTGAGCCCCCGACCCACTCCCCTGGCACCAGACTCGTCCCAGCCCTGGGGCAAAGCCGGGGCCCATCTGTGCTCCCCTCCTCCAGTTGTGCCTGGCCTCTGGGGAAGGCAAAGCCCCCCCCCCCAACACGCCAGGGTCAGGTTCCCCATCCCCCTCCCCAGTGTGGCCCCACGGTCCCTGGCCCCGAAGGGCCCGCACACACACTACTGCCTCCCCTCCATCATCTGCATGGGGCCCCTTGCCCAGCTGGACATGAAGATGTTTATTCCACGTGTGCAGGTGAAACGGTGCCAGGGTGGGAGCCGGTGGGTGGCCTCACCAAGAGGTGTGGAGCCCGAATCCGGCTCGGGCAGCACTGCCTGCTCCTGCCTGGGGCTGCCTGCGGCTCGCCCCAGCAATGGGAGGGGGCCCGGGCAGGCATCACTGTGGGGGTGCCCTGTCCCCCTCCTGCCCGGGGGCCCTGCCTGCACAGGGCTGTGTGCACCCAGCCCGTGGTACTGCCAGCCCCCATTGCCCAGCGCTGCTGTCCCCGGGGCCGGCTCCATCTCAGCACAAGGAATTGGTCTCTGGATGATGACAGAGCAAATGGGGTCTAGGCTGGTGCCAGGACCCTCGTCCCAGGGCTCCCAGGGTGGGATGGAGTGTGCAGGCTTGGCATGTGCCTGCACGCATGTGTGCATATCTGTGTGCGTGCATAGGTATGTGAGGGGCAGCTGGGAGGACCAGCCCTTTGCCCATAGGGTTGTGCCTCTCACCCACTGTTGCTGCTCAGGACCCAGCTCCCTGCCTTGGTTCCCCCTCTCTGCCAGGACATTCAGGGGCTGCCCCCATCCATGGGGTCCTCTGTCAGTGCGGGTTGTAGCCCCCAGCTTGGTTCTGCCCATGGGGCTGGGCACAGTGTCTCTTGGAGGCCAGTGGTGCTGGATCTCCCTGTCGGTCCCACACTTCCAGCTGGATTCTCCCCAGGAGCAACTGCCACGTGAGGCTCCCAGCGGCCCCGAGCCCCCGCAGCCCTTCCCAGGCTGGGGCCAGGACGAAGCTGCTGTGGGGAAGGTGCGTGGCAGAGGTGAGCTCCCAGCACTGGCTCATGAGGCCAGGGCTGCCAGGAGGAGAGGCGTCACCTGGCCCCTGGGGGACCCCCCGGCCGGCTCGGGGCTTCGGCAGGTTTTTATGGCATACACGGCCCCTTGTCCACTGTGTCTGGCACTCGGCATGGGTTCGTGGTTTGGAATACGTTTCTAATTAAACCTGGAAATAAGCAAGGTGCCCGGGTTGTTCGTGCTGCCCCCGGGCATGGTGCTGGGATGGGGCTGCCACTACCGGCTCCTGTGCCCAGGGGCTCGAGGGGGCCGGGCATGCAGATGGTGCCAGGACAGCATCTCCATCACCACCAATTCCTGGCCAGTCTCACAATGGTGGTGGCAGCATGCCCTGTCCTGGCTGGTCACGCTTGTCTCTCTCTCCCCTCCCTGGTCCCCCTGTCCCCCCCGGCTCTGGAGGGGGCTAGAGCACCCAGAGTTTGACCCTGCAGTGCTGGTCCTGCACAGCATCTCCTCCTTGCACCCGGCATCTCCTTGCCCTGCCTGCTTCTGCTGCCTGCAGGCTCACCTCCCACTTCTACCCCGGTCAGGATGCAGCCACCCGCCTCCAAGCCTCCTGGCGAGGCCTCATCTGGCTCTTGCCACAGCTGGGCTGGCACCAAGCAGCCTGGAGCCAAGTTGTCACCCATTAATGAACAGGTTGTCCAGCAGAGTGAGAGCCCTGTAGTGGGCCTGGCCGCAGCTCCTGGCTGTGCGGCATGGCCAGCAGGTAGAAAAAGCACATGGCTGGAATCAGCGGAGGCAGGAGAATACTGCCCCAGTGCTGCTGGAGCCCAGCAGTGGGAGGCTTTCCATGCCAGCAGTGTGGCTGGGCTGTGAACCGCCGGGCACGTGCACCGGGTGGGCAGCAGCCCCAGTGCTGGCTGGCTCCAGGGTCCTACCCCAGGCACGCGTGCCTGGTGCTGTCAATGTGCTGCTGGCACCCATCTTGCAGAGCGGGGTCACCCCGGCACCCTCTGCCCCTCGCTGGGGACAGCCCCTCCTGGGACAGAGCCACTGGGTGCTGCCTGACTCAATGAATAAAATAAGCCCCTAAATAAAGCCCAGTAATGCATGTGTCATTTTCCATTGATAGTTGAATACCTACAGGGACACGGTGCTTCCATCTCAGCTGCTATTTTTTGTCATGTAGTAATGCGTCTGCAAAGATAATTGCGCTGTTCCCTCAATAGCAGAGGCAGGAAAAGGCAGCGACAGCCCAGATTTTCTTCTTTTCACTGCTGGAGAACAAGCCCACGCCTTTCACTGGCTGCTGCTGGGTCTGCCCTGGCCCCTCGGCCCTGGGGATGCGGCCATGAGGTGGGGTATTTATTTTAGGCGTTTAACCACTTTGGTTGAAGCTGGTGTGCAGTGCCAACGGCACAGGGTGCAGGGGGCTCTGCCCCCCCCGCCTCCGCCCCAGGTTGTAGGACTACTGCGTGGAGACACGGGGACCCTCCTTGAGAGGGTCCTGCTGTGGGGCAGCACCCCATGGCGACCTGGCATGAGGGCAGGACCCTGCAGGGGGAGGCGGGCTGGGAGCCATGCAGCAGTTCTTGAAACAAAAAAAAACAGTTAAAACAAATATGAGGCCTTGATCGAGTTAAGTATGGGCATGAATAATGCAGTCAGAGCACCAGGGAGTGCTCCCATCTGAAACTGGATTTCTTTCCACATGCTCTGCACCCAGTGCAGCTCCGCTCCAGACTGGTCCTGGCTGGGCTGAGGGCGAGTGAGGAGAGCGCCCATGGGAGCCTGCGGCTGGGTGATGGTGGAGCGAAGCGGATAGTGGCACATGTGCTGAAACCGCCAGTGGCTGCTGGTGTGTTTTGAGTAGCCATCTGTAGGCTCCAGAGTTAACACCGGGCTGAAGGAGAGAGCTACTGGCCTCTCAGCACTCCTCCTTCAGCCCATGTGATGATGGGGAGGCCGAGATGTTTGGGGAAGGTTTGGAAGCCACAAAAGAGCAGCTGCAGAGGGACGTGGCCTCCTTGCTCTCCCAGGGCCGTGGGGATCTCGCTGGCCAACTGTCCCTCTGTCTCCAATCGTGCTGACAACAAACACTGCCCAGTTCAGTTTTCCTGGACAGAGGGTAAGAGTCTCTGACATTGGCAGAGCAAGTTTAATGGAAAGAACTAACCAGCTGGGTAAGAAATGTGTGCAGCACTCCTGCCCTGGAGGGGCTGCGGCAGGGACTCAGCCCATGCCCCTGGATCCCGGGGTCCTGGTCCCAGCCCCTTCCCCTCCTGGGCCTTTCTCCTTCCCAGCTTCCAGCAGGTGGTAGCACGCTGCCAGCTCCGCCAGCCCCGTCCCCAGCCCTGCCAGCGTCCCCAGGCCCGGCAGTGTCCCCAGCCAGGCATCGCTCACCCATGGTGCCATGCCCAGGCCTTGCCAGGCACCACATGCCTCCGGCAGCCTCCAGCCCAGCATGAGGGACCCCTGTCCACCGCACCCAGCCCTTGTCTGGCTCCCCGTCACGCTGCCTGGGGAAGTGGCTCTGGAGCCCCGAGAGCTGACCCCTCCTGGCATCCCGTGCTGCCTGATCCACGGAGAGCCCTGGATGAGGGGGAGGCTGGCAAGAAAAGGCACCCCTCCTGGCTCCATGTTGCTGGGTGCCAAGCGAGAGTCCAGAGCCCATTTTAGAGGCCCTGGAAACCTTGTTTTCTGCTGGCCTTGTGAGCATTTGTTCTCTGCCTGTTTCTGTTTTGGGTCTGGCAGCTCCCAGCACACGCAGTGGCTGTGGCAGCGCAGTGCCGCAGGCAAGTGCTGGTCTCTGGCAGCCCCATGCCGGCAGCGGGGCTGGCTGCAGCCCCTGCCTGCACTGCCGGCAAGGGATGTCCCCAGCACAGCCCATGTCCCCAAGGTGCCAGAGATGTCAGCACCCATGCCAGCTCCTGCCGTGAGCACAGGGTCTCTCCTGCTGTCCCTTCAGTGGGAACTGGGGCATTCTGAACCTCAGCATCACTGCCTGACTACTGCAACTCCTCTCCTGCCTCAAACCTGGAAGCCCTGCCCCAAGCTGAGCCCAGGCAAGTTCAGTGCAGGCAGCTCCAAGCACCCTGCTCCCCTCCATGTCCCAGAGATGGCTGGCCCTGAGCCGAGCAGGCAGGCCTGGCCCAGCTCCAGTTTGTTATCTCAAGGGAACCCAACCATTTCTGCACCTTGTTTACCCACTGTTGTGCCAGGGCGGGGAGGAAAAACAAACACCAGCCTTTTGTTCACCAGCCTCCCCTTCCTGTGAGCCTCGTTTTCCTCTCCCGAGCTCCCTCTGCCCTCTTCCCCCACCATGGGACCCAGGACTCAGTGCCCTTGTAGTGCAGTGCCCAGTGTCCAGGCAGGACACCACTGTCCCCCTTCCCCATTGCCACCTGCAAGACATCCCTGCCCAGATCCCTCCAGGTCCTGGCTGGTTCCTGATCCCCACATGCCCTGTTCGGAGGATCCCAGCACCTTTTCCCAGGTCTGCTCCCATGCCAGCGAGGGGCAGCTGTGCCAAAGGGTCCACTGCCAGTGAGGGTCTGCAGCTGGCCTGAGCCAGTGCTCCTGGCCAGGCAGAGCAATGTGCCAAGAAAATCCATAAATCAGCATGCTTGCCCTGCCAGGGACCACCCGCTCGCTGCTGGGAGAGGCCTGGGCATGGCAGGCGGAGCGCATTTGGCAAAACTGGGGGGGTGCAGGGATTGGGGAGGGCAATTCGCTTCCAGAGAGGGAGGAGGGTTGTTCCCCCAGGACCTGGGGACCTTCTATCCTGCCACCTTTCCCAGGTGCTGGCAGAGCTGGCTGCTAGCCCTCGGTCTAGCTCGGCACGGCTGGCTGGCTCTTTTTATCAGCTTGGAGTCAGGATGCAGAGGGAGCTGAGACCTCCCACCTCTCGCGGTCGCTGCCTGGTTGCAGCAGCCCCTGCCGAAGGAGCTCACCATGCCCGGCTCTCCTTCCTGGCGATTATTCCCAGCCCTGCACTGCTGTGAGATGACGGTGCCTTCCCTGCAGCCTGATGGCACCCACAGGGCAGCAGCCAGGGAGGAACAGCTGCTGGTCCCTGTCCGTGCCACCGTCCTGCTTGGTGCATCCCTGTCCCCAAGGCTATAAATCCATGCGGTACCTGGGCTGGGGCCAATCACCCTGGTTTGAGCCTCCTGCCCCGCTCCTGCCCCCCCCGCAGCACCAGGGCCTCAGGGCCTGCAGTGATGCTCCGTGGATCCTCCTGACGTTTTGCCCCTGGTGCCCCCAGCACCACCTGGGCCGTATCCTGCCCCAGCACTGTCCCCGCCAGGTGCCAGTGAGACGTGTGACATGTGGCACTGTCTCTCCCAACTCCTCCAGCCACGATACTAAACCACTTAACGCACTTGGGGAGTCCTTGAGCTCCAAGCCCCCTCAAGTGCTGCTGGCTTTGTCCAGCGCTTTGACGAGCTCCAGAGCTCGGAAGGGACAGCGGGCTGTGCTCGGGGGGGCGGGGGGGAAGGAACGGCTCTGTCCCGCTGGCCTCGGCCCCCGATCGCGCTCAGGGCGGGAGGGCGCTGGGGGGGGGCACGGGGCTGCTGCCGTCCCGCTCCCGCCCTCATCCCGGCTCAGGGCCCCCACTCTCCCGGTCCCATCCGAGCCCCGGGCTCCCGTGGGCAGGCGGCCGGTTGTCCCGGGGCCGGGTCCCCGCGTCCCCCGAGCATCAGCATGCCGGGGCCGCTCGGCCCGGCTCGGTCCCGATCCCGATCCCGATCCCGGTCCCGGTCCCGGTCCCGGTTCAGCCGGGCGCGGCACGGCACCG